GGAAAGGAGGAGTGTGCTGTCACAGTATAGGGAGAGCAACTAGGGTCACATAACAATGTATGTATAGATTTTTGTATGAGACTAACTTGAACTGTAAACTTTCACTTAAAGCACAATAAAAAATTAAAAAAAAAAAAAAGTTTTCTTGGCCCAAACCAAAACCCTGGACAAGAAGTCAAGAGACTCTCATTTCTTTCCTTAGCTTTGCTACTAAGTTGCAGTGTTACCGTGGGCCATCAGGACTCACCACCTCTCCTTAAGACCCAGTGTCAAAGACCTGCTTGACCTGGTGTCTCCAACTATGACTGTGTCTCTTAAGGATAACTTGCTCATTACCTCTAACCCACTGCTGTCGAGTTGATGCTGACTCACAGCAACCCTACAGGACAAAGCAGAACTGCCCCATAGAGTTTCCAGAGAGTGGCTGGTGGATTCAAACTGCCAACCTTTTGGTTAGCAGCTGTAGCTCTTAACCACTGCGGCGGCATCAAGGTTCAGCATGCAGAAATTAGATAGTCCAGTTAGGGTAAGGAAAATGAGTTTTCCATTAATTTGTTAATCTTCTTAAAAAAATACAAGCCTTCTCAAAATAAAAATCCCCTTAATGTGAGTAAATAAGAACTTTACAAAACAAAGCAAGTAAGCTGAGTCCTCCTAACTCATCAATTTGATTTAATTTTGTCTCATTCCCTTCACTGTTACTGGGAGCCACTGCTTCAGTTTAAAAACAGCAAGTTTTCAAAAATGACTTTGGTTTATCTATCCATAATAAACGGCATGAACAGTTTTGAATTTATTCCAGCAGCAATAAGATGACCAAGTGCTTAATGAATTCCTCTACCTCTAATTTGAATCACACCTTCCTGGGTGACTAAAATAAATTTCTAGAGTTAAACATAAATGAGGAAGGTGACTGACTACCAGAAAATAAACACTAACTTTATTAATACAATAGCAACAGAAAGGGTTTCCAATTTCTCAGAAGAAAAATAACATGAAACCAGCACCACCCGGTAAGCTTTACAAGATCCAATCTCGTATTTATTGTTCGGATAGCTCCCCACCACACCCCGAAGATGTTTCATCAAGGGCAGCTGCCATCAGGGCTGCTCTAAGGTCACGTTTCCCACTGTGGTAGTGAGGATACTTCATAGGCAACTCCCCAAACAGAAGATGAATGCTATTATTCCTCTTTTAGAGGCTCTTGATGTAGAGAGAACACATCCATGTGGAGTACAGAGGCTTGTGTCTCAAATCAAGAAAAACCATGAACTAATCTATTAATTTATCTCTGAGACAGTCTGCCAGAGTGGTCTACGAAGAATCCTTTTCTGTTCCTACCACATGTCTGGGTGAGGGGAGAGGAAGGGGCTGGAAGGGTGCCAGTATCCTAACAGGCAAGTCTGGTGATATTCTGGGCTCCACTGCCTTTCTTCTGGTGGTGCTGGGTATCTACTCTGGCAGCTGCAGCAGCTTGATGTGGGGAGGAAGGGACCACCGGCAATCACCTCTTTTTGAAGCCATATTTTTTGCGTTCATAGAAGAGATCAGTCTTAGAGCTCCCCAAATTGACAATCTTTGGGCAACCATCTCTCTGGAAAACAGAAGAATTAATAAATGGTTAGAAGTCTTTAAGCCTGAATCGAGAGGGATTAAAGATAAAAAAATTACGTCACAGAAGGAACAAGTTAAACTCTTCATCCTAGTATTCAAAACCCCAATAAATGGATTTGCAATTGTACCTGAACACCCCTACTTCCCTAACTGGGAAGGCCAGCTCAGTCAGCACTGTTTCTTCCTGATCTCTTCTGACTTTTGGATTAATGCCTTACCTGTTCATTTTACCCGTCACCCTATTCAGTCAGTTATCAAGAATTTACTAAGCACTAGAATGTGCCCAAGGCCTGCCTACCCTCTATCCAGTGACCTACAATTACAACTACACTTAGAATGCTGAATTCTAAGCCCACTTTTGTTGCTAATATGATACGGTTGAGGTAGAAATCTGGACTCTCAAAAAATATGCAAAGGATTTTCTTCAAGTCAAAGATAAGACATGGCAACAAATCATCTGCAGATCCAGCTCTCTGGTCCTCCTGCATAGAAGCACTATCCCAAGAAAGGAGAGAAGATCAGAGACGAGAAAAACTAAAGACTTCAGGAAACAGTGCCTTACATTTTAAATACCATAGGAGAATACTAGGTTTGCTGTGTTCATATTAATTCACTGAATGTGACACATGGTCTCGGGGAAGGAGTGCTCCTGTCTAGAGACAGCTGTTGACGGTCTATGCTCTGATATGTAATGACACTCTCCCCTGGCCATTCTGTGAGCTTGAGTGGTTCAATGAACCCCTGGGAAGCTCTTCTTCAGGAATCATGGCTCTATCAGTTGATGAGAGATGATAGGAGAAAACTGGGTAAGTTGGTACTGGTAAAAACCTTCACAGGTCTGATGATGATTTTCTATGTACCCAGTATTACATCGAGAACTCTCATCTGTGTAGCCTGGTGTAATCAGGTAGCCAAGGTTCTAGGCCCAGCCCCACCAATGGCTAGGTGAACTCAAGCAAGCCACATAACCTGTATTTAAGGTCCTTGTAAAAATGAGGGAACAGCTGCCTCTCTTGGCCTAAGAAGGCCTGTTATTAAGTAAGACAGTGCTCTAAGTTCTTTAGAGATACTATGATATTCAGTGGTATGATAGCCCAATTTGTGCCCTGCTGTGTGACCGTGGGCAAGTCTCTCTGGACTCATATTCCCCAAGTGTAAAATAAGAGGACTGAATCAGGTCAGTGTTTACACACTGTGTTTATAGAGCCCCCGAGATTTCTGCTAGATGCCATATGATGGGAGGACCCATCCCCGAATCTGCACAGTTCTGTTCTCACTCATTACTTAGGTTAAGATGGTAGGCTCTGGAGCTAGACCACGTGACTTATAAGTTACTTAAACTCCCGAGTCTCAGTTTAATCACGTGTAAATGACTATAATGGTAGAACCTACCTTATAGAATTAAGAGGATTAAATGATTCAACAGACATATGGATTTCCCCATTCCCAGCACAGGAAGCTTTTCTTTTAGGCAGCTGTAGCTTGAACTGAATCCCATGGAAAGTATGTTTTATGGCTACTATAATTTCTAAAATTTCACAAAAAAGGAGACGCTAGACTGCCAAGTGAGGGGTTATCGTCATTCACTTGTAAAAGCCATTGAGCACCTCCAGTGTGTCAGGGGCTTGTTTCCATTATACTAAACACGTTCACTAAAACATTACCAGGAGAACTGGAGGCTGTACTTCTGGAGCGACCATCAAGGAGAACACCATGCCTCTGGGTTTCCTTCCCAAGATGGGTTGTGTTTCAAATCCACTTCTATGCAGGAAAGTAAACTCTAGAAAGCTCACTGATGAAAAACCAGGCACTTGCAATTAACACTTAAAAAAAACCCCAATACAAACCATGTACCAAAATATAACATACCAAGGGGAAAGTGATACAGAACTGAAATGCAGGAAAATTAATTAAAAAATTGACATCAGAAAAACACATTTACTTAAAATGGGTCAAAATTTCTGTTTTTTACAGATGGTAACAAAGATTAGGAATGGGTGGCACTGGCGGGATCTGCTTTAAGTAACAGAAACTAGAAGGTGAAATGTTCACTGTTTAATGAACATTGATGATGTAAAAACCTGACAACCTACAACAGTTTGGGACCTTAACAATAGTATCACATTATTCTATTTGGGGTATTAAAAAAAAAAAAGACCTCCAAGCACCCAGCACTCAATAAAGACATCCATGAGGTGACAGGGTTTGTTACTCCCATTTTGCAGAGATTTCCCCAAAGCTACACACAGCATGTTAGCTGCAGAGCCAAGACATGAACATGGGCTTTCTGTCTCCCAGTCTGGTGTTCTTCCTAATGAGGAAGAACATAGTTCAGGAAGTTATAAAGAATGTTAAATCTGTGAATTAACTTTGAAAAGTGTAATTGTTTTTTTGCATCTATCCAACTGCTCTAATTGCTGTTCACTTCCATGGGGAGCACAGAAGGGTAGAAATAACAAAAGGGAGGCACATCCTTAACCACCCGGACAAAAGCAATACAGTGAGGTGGTTAGGACTAAGTTCTTTGAGGCTGACCATGTATCTCAATGGGGCAATATTACAAAAAAAAAAACTTTGCTACTACAATGATTTGTGATCTAATGTTTACCCAACAAAATTTTACTCCGTATTTAATTTCTCTTATTGAGGATAAATTTAATTAAATTTTAATTTAGCCTTTCTCCTTGTTGTTAGCTGTCACTGAGTTAGCCCCTGGCTCGTGGTGACCCCATATACAATGGAATAAAACACTGCCTGGCTGCACCATCCCCATGATTGGTTGCGAGTCAAACTGTTGTGATCCACAGGGCTTTCAATGACTGATTTTTGGAAGTAGATCACCAGGCCTTTCTTCCTAGTCTTAGTCTAAAAGCTAAGCAACACACAAGTCTCCAGTGACAGAAGGGTGGTGGCTGCACACGAGGTGCACTGACCAGGAATCAATACTGGGTCTCTCACTGAACCACCACTGCCCTCACCTTTCTCCACAGTCAGACAATGAGAAAAGGCCAACAGAGAGTTAGGCAGACCTATGTTCTAGACCTGGATCTACCACTTATTAGCCATGTGACCTTGGGCCAAGTTGCTTAGCTTTTCTAAGCCTCCGTTTCCTCATCTGTATCACATGGGACATTTGTAAAAGAATATTCAGCACAGGATCTGGTACACAGCAAGAGCTACATAAATGTTAGCTACTATTTTTCTTCTTTTCTGGTTGGGAGATTTAAGAGAATGAAAATAAAAAGAGTAAAGGAAATCAAGGATTAAGGGGTATTAATATGATGCTGGCCTATAAAAAAACCACACATTAGTCCTCTGGTAGCAACGTCCATAGATAGTATTCCTGACTCCTAATTATTCTTGTGGCTTTGAAAAACTGTAAGTCAGAGGACCCAGCTTAGCTTACTGTTCTAATTCCCTTATAAATGATGAAAGCTGCAAGAAGAAGAAGAGAACAATAATGAGGTTGCTTTGGTCCTAGGAAGATGTCTGCATAGGAAAAAGTCTTGGGCACATAATCTCCATGACGATCTGTAAGGCTGAGAGGTGGATCATGTCACTGGACTGCCTTGTGTTCCCTGGAAACGAGTGCCGAGTAAATGTGAGACAGATGCCATCTCAAATATCCTCAGAACATTCCTGTATAATGGGCAATAGGGGAAGTGACATCTAGGATAATTCTTAGGGACAAAATGAGACACAAAGATCAAAGGTATCAGGTCACACATGACATGCAGACAAGCCAGGTGGCAATTAACATTTATTAAGCACTCTGGTTGCAAAGCTTACGTCAGGTAAGAACTCTCACTACAGCCATGCAAGTTCAAGAAAACATCACTAATGGAATCTTTCTAGTTTAAGAACTGTTTATACTCTCTCTTCCCCGCTGTCACCTTACCATGGTTTCACTGCTTATATGCTCTCCAAGTAATTATCAAACACCTACTATGTATCAGACAGCCTGCAGGGTGGATGATTTGCAGGGCATCACCAAAACATCCTATCATGCTTGGACTACATGCCAGGTACTGTACCAAGAACTGGGGAAAAGGAGAGGAGACAAATACACAATCCAAGGTCCTTGCTCTAAAGGAATTTAATCTAGCTGGCTGACCAGACCCACATTTAGAAAAAGTAGGACATGATTTGACAATGATGAAATGCAAATCAGCATTTAGGATAGGAGAATGTTGACATCCCTAATTGAAATTATGTTTTTACTTCTTTAGCTATGGCCTTTCTCATATCCCTAAATGATAGAAGACTTAATGGTCTAAGAAATGGTCTTTATCTGGCCTGATATGTCACACTTACTGGGGGTAGACAAGATCCAAATGTGCAGACTGCTAAGGTAGCTGGGCTGTTTCTCCTCAACATGGATACATTTTACCAAGATGACTTAGGGAGGAGAACACGGTGTAATGGTGACATCACGAGGTTTAGTCAGACAGCCTGGGCTTGCCACTTATTAGCTGGGTGGGGGACTGTAAAATGGGAATGATAATGATACCCATTTAACAGAGTTATTGTGTGGAATAAGGGCGATAACATTAATAAAGTACTCGTTAGCTCATGAGAATGTGAAGAATATTTATCTTTTGCCTTATCCTACACTAGGTAACCAAACCCAAAAAACCAAACTTGTTGTCGTTGAGTCGATTCTGACTCATAGTGACCCTACGGGATAGAGTAAAACTACCCCACAGGGTTTCCAAGGCTGTAAATCTTTACAGAAGCAGGCTGCTGTATCTTTCTCCCGCGCAGCGACTGGCGGGTTCCAACCGCTGACCTTTCGGTTAGCAGCCGAGTGCTTAACCACCGCGCCACTAGGCTTCCTACTAGGTAACCAGTACCCTTAATTAGTCCAGTGGGACTATATCACATTTCCTTTTATAGTATGCTAAGAAAAGAAGTTAACTGACTCATGAGTACACTGCCCCTCCCACAAGAGGCCTGCTGCCAGACTAATCTAAAGAAAAACAGTAAAACTTGTCTTCAGTGCTGATCTACAAGCCCTCTCTCCTGCCATATGGCTCAGGCAGTTGAACATTAGTAACTAGCCACTGCCATTATGTAATGCCAGGGAACAAAAATATCATGAGGCAGAACCACAATCAGTTCTGCCACATTAAACTAAAGACATTCTTCAGCTGCTTAAAGCTGAAATTAACTCAAGTTGTCCCAAACTCAACTTTGTCACCATATCAACCCAAGAGAAGTGCTGAGTGGCTTTTATACACCACGCCCTGTGCTAGGATTTACAAACGCAGAATGTTATTTCTGAGTAAGAATAATCACATGGAATAGAGAGAGGGCTCTCCAAATTGCAGGTGTTGACAAAGAGTTGCTTCTCTTGCCTTTTACTGGGCTACACCCAGTTTGGCTCACAGAACTTGAAGAAATTATAACTTAGGTGATTAGCTGAATGTAGTAATCTCCAAAGACCATAGAAATTTGCTGTGGATGACAAAGTGTTACTAAATAAAAGTCAGGTGGAAAGCTTTGTATACACTCACATCCTTCTCCTGGATGGTGCATTCCTTACAGTAATAGGCATCGGAGACTCCGGGGCCTCCACAGATCACGCAGCGTCCCTGGTAAGAGCCGTAATTACACTCATCACATATGCGCACCAGGGTACAGGGACGCACATAGGAGTCACAGATCACACACTTGCCATCACCTGTGAGAAAAAGAGAATGGACTTACGCTCACCTGCAAGTATCTACTCTCCCAAGTGCTCTGCCCTCTTTCAGCTATGGGCAGTGCACTAGTTTCCTTCGGATAGTGAGTTTAGGGCCCTCCTCTACTTTAGTATTACCCAGTGTCCATCTCAACCCCCTTAACACTTACAAAATGTTAACCAGCATAGAACAGCACCTGGTAGATGAGCCAAAAAACCAAACCCACTGCCGACCAGCCAATTCCAACTCATAGTGACCCTACAGGACAGAACAGTCATGGATCCCTTCTTGAAGCCCCTTCCAGGTCTGAGGCAACCAGAAATAGCACTTCTCAGAACCCTGACTCATATGGTTTACAAGGATCGGCTGGTGGATTCGAACTGCCAACTTTTTGGTAGATGACAGGTCTATGTAATTGCCGGTTAAAAAAAAAAAAAAAAAAAAAACACAACTGTGTATGTTGGGGAGGGGGTCAAGCTACTCTGGCGATTCTTCATATCCCAAATTAGAGATTTTCACAAAACCTAAATGTCGTGTTTAAAATGTGCCAGCCAGAGTAGGGAGGTGGAAAGGGTCTAGAGTTGCAGACTGTGATCCTGTGTCTACATGCTTCCAGCTCCGTCTACTCAAAGCCCTCTTTGTGGCACCGCTGGAAATGCCCATTTGCTGACTCCACTGAGTGGGAGGAGTGAGAGGCTGGGAGGGTGTTTCCACTCACATTTTTCACACAGTCTTCCGATGGCTGCAAGAGCAAAGAAGTAAAGAACACCATTAGAATTAGGGTTTTGACGAAAACGGCTGGGGTGGGAACAGGGGCAGGGACTGCAATGAACTTTAAGTGACAATCATCTTATCCTCGTAGACTTCGATCCGAACCAAACCCATAGTCACGATTCCCTCTTGAAGTCCCTCCCAGGTCTGGGGCAACCTGAGATAGCGCTTCTCGGAACCCTGACCCAGACACTCAGCCCTTGCCGCCCACCCCTGGCTCCCAGCCCGCGCGCTCCGCCCTCTTTTCCTCAGAGGCCACGAACCCGCGCGCTCCTACACTACGCCGCGACCGTGAAGTAGAAAACGTGGGGGCTCCGAGGGAAAGCCCTAGGGAAGAGATGAAAACTCTCAACCTCCCAGCTCCTAACACCACCCCGACCCAGACAGCCGGGGCAGGGCGCCGCCTCACCAACACCAGCCTGCTTGCGGCAAAAAATCAAATCCGGATGGTGTTTGGCCATAGCTTCCACTTAAACCGGCCACCGGAAGCTTCCGGAACTTCCGTCCGACCTTTGATCCCCATTGTTCCTGCTTCCTCTTCGTCATGATTGGTCCTCGAGACTTCCATCAGGCACCAAGCCCCGCTCCCTCTCGCGAGATCCAAGCAAGTACTTTCCAGGACGTTTCTGTGGTTGCTGCGGTGCCAGGTCCTGGCAAGAGCGCGAAAGATCTGAAATAAGTACGTTTCCCAGATTTGGATGGAAGATATAACCGAAATTTGTTTTTCAATAAAGCATCTTTGTATCAGCATTTAATTACTGCAAGTGTTTTTACCAGCCTTTTGACCTCTCGCGTGCCCGTTCCTAACATTGTGGCTCTACCCTCTATGTTCGCGAAGCTCCGGTGCCTCTAGGAAGGCCCCGCCCTCACCGCGACGCGTTCTCGTCAGGCCACGCCCCCACCTAAAGTCCTTAAGTACGCCGTCTGTCACGTCACTTTCACGCGACCTCATCTTTGTCAGTGCACAAAATGGCGCCTTACAGCCTACTGGTGACCCGGCTGCAGGTGAGCGCGCTCAGGGCCCTCAGGGTTCACGGGGGCGGGGTGCCTCCTACTGTGTTTGCGGCTGTGGGCGAGGCGGGCCTGACCTTGGGCAGACTTTTCGTGTACCTGTCACGGCCGTGGGCCCAGTGCCTGTGCCCGATTCTGTGGTGCCGGAGGTCAAGGCGTCCCTGGCTCTGTTAGGTGCCCCAGCCCTTTCCCCGCCCCCTGGTAAGCGTACGCCCAAGCAGCGGCGGCAGGATGGAGAGTTGAGGTCCCTCTTTCTCCTTTCTGAGGACTGCACTGCCCGCTCTCGTAGGGTTTCTTTCTATTCCTCAAGGTGAAGACAAGGTGACAGGGTGGGGTGGGGTGGGGTGGCGGTCGTTGTAGAGCCCGTTAAGCCCAATGCCTGAAGGTCTCAGTTCCTATCTCTCAGCCTCAGACTTTACTGGCCGGTTTGCCTAGTACCCTATTCCGTCTTTTGAGGACTCTGCGAAACTTTTAGCCAAGAGTACGCGGGGGATCTTCTTGCCCGAGGTAGTATAGTAGTGATTATAGTAATGTCTCACATTTGCACGTGATTGCAAGACTTTTAATTCCTCATCATATCATTTGATTCATATAATCATCTAGTGAGATAGGTGCGAGATAATTCTCATTTAATAGGTGGTGAAACTGCTAGGAAGTAGGTGAAAGTTTCAAGGGTGTCACTGTCACTGTAGTCCTGTGGCCTGAACATGTACCCTACTACCCCTCTGCTCTCCTAGTTCCACGTCAGCCTGCCCTCACAGACTGAGGCAAGGTATAATCCTGGAGTTAACATTTGCATTTTGGAGAGTACTAGAATGGAGTGTTTTGAGTTTACAGTTAGTTGCTTTTTGAGTAACAGATGGGAGGGTAGGGAGACTCAGCCGTTTGACCTTGACTCTCCTGTTGTGAACCATCTAGAAAGTTGACTGTGGCAGTGACTGCCAAATGATTTTTCACTCCTAACTTGACAGTCATTAAAAAACAAAACAAAAAACCTGTTGCTGTTGAGTCGATTCTAACTCATAGCAAACCTATAGGACAGAGTAGAACTGCCCCAAAGGGTTTCCAAGGATCGGCTGGTGGGTTCGAACTGCTTACCTTTTAGTTAGCAGCCAAATGCTTAACCACCGTGCCACCAGGGCCCCTTACAATCTTTAGGAAGGTGTTATACTCGAAGTATCAATGTCAAGGGTGTAGTTTGTTAATAAAAATAAAGGAAGCAAGCATTTGTAGACATTCTCTGCAGCCTTTTATGTTTAACTTTGTGAATATTTTTGAATCAAGTGGCACAACTGTGATTATAGAATTAAAAACTTATTATGTGCTGTACTCTCAGGAAGCATTGTGTTACTAGAAGTTATTTTTCATCACATTACTTAAGTTTAAAACTGGTTTAAAGTGAAATCATTTATTAACTTCCAGTCTCACAGTTTTGGGCAAAGGCAAGAGATTTGCACTTAATTATCTCTTAAGGTCTTTTGATTTTCTAGGTTGATGGTGTGGAAATAGTTATTTCTTCCTACTCCTGCTGTACCATGATGTAGTGCAGCCAGGCAAGATTACTTGATAAGATAAATGATTACAGATTTATTGAAAAAAGAGGAAAAGAGGTTGTAAAAACGGCATGGGGGTGGTGTCTGACCTCTAGCCCCACAAGGGGAAGGAGAACCAAGATCAGCAGCACAAGGCTGACTGTCATGAGGTTGAGGCCAGACAAGCCTCCTCTTTCCACCATCTTTACCAATTCTAATACCAACCGTCCCCTCACACAGCATGCTCTACTTCTCTGCTGGGTTCAATAATTCTTTTGCAATGGCCATACAGAACTCAGAGAGCATACAGTTATGAGGTTTATTAGAAAAGTAACAGTTACGATTCAGGCTCAGGAACACTCAGGATACAGTTTTTCCGTCAGGACAGCCTCCCCAGCTGTGCTTGCAGGCACGCCTCTCTCTGGCCCTAGGCCTCTCCCCAAAGGCACTCAGCTTTCTCTCTCGGTGGCCAACCATGCGGTCTCCTGCTGCCGGTCTCTGCTGTCACCACTTCTCACCGTCTTCAGGGTTACAGCTTTCTCTCTCTCTCTGTCTCCTGCTTCCAGGAGCTTCTAAGCTCAGGGATCCCTGGTCCAAAGGACGCGCTTTCCGCTCCTGGCTGTTCTTTCATGGTGGTAGGATCCTCCTCCCTGCTCTGGAATTGGCTCTCTTTTTAGGCAAAATTGACCAATACCCTTGATGGGCCACAATTACCCTATCACACAGTCCTGCCCAATCACCTGGGTGGGAGTTACAAGACCATAGCTAGAAAGGCCACATACAAGAGTGATTAATCACACTGCAGAGGTATATTAACAGCATTTTAGAACTGAAAACATGAACGTTAACCTGGTGTAGAAGGTTCATACTGTACCCTGGCCCTGTGACCTTGAGGAAATTACTTCCTGAATCCCAGTTTCCTCACCTGTCATTTGGCGATGATCTTCATTGAAGAAACATTTATTGAGTACCTGATAATCTTCTTTTCAGATTGTTGTTATAAAGTGATGAGCAACTGGAATGTATTTGTTTATGATCACCATAGAATCCAAGGCCTTGCAAATCCTGAGTGACTTCCAGTAATAGTCCAGCTACTCTGTAGCAGAGTCAGGATTAAAATCGGGGTCTCCTTGTCCATTCAGCTAAAACGAATGAACAGAATTTGCATTTGCGTTATACCACACCACCCCCCAGTAGTCAGGCTGTCTTAAGTAATAGCCAGCTAACACTGTCCTCTGAGAACCTTGTGAATTTACCTCTTTTGTGTTGAGCTACATTTGAGAAGTGATGGTTACTACCTTAGTCATCATGTCTTGGGAGAACCCTGTCTGTGCATTCAATTCATTCCTTCTTCACTACGTATTTCCTGAGCTCCCACTGCTTGCTGCAGATTCAGTGGTGAGCCAAGCAGACAATGCCTGTTCTCGTGGAGCTTCCATTATATTCTAATATACCCTGCAGCAGAGGGTCTTGGAGATCTTTCTTAGCCCATATTATTATTCTTTTGCCCTTGGCTAGACTAAAGATGAAGGTAGATAATAGAATGATGACTGTTGCTACTACCGCTAAGAGTAGTTACTGTTTAGCTTACTCTGTGCCAGTAATCTCACATGAGCCTGCAAGATAAGGCAGACTTATTAGCCCTGTTTTACAGAGGAAGAAACTGAGGATTAGAGAGGAAGCATGGTGTAATAATAGTTAAGAGCATGGACTGTGGCATCAGGTTGCCTGGATTAGAACCCTGACTGTAATGTTCAGTAGCTGTGACTTTGAACGTATTACTTTACCTCTTTGTACCTGTTTCCTTGCCTGTAAGATATGGATAATAATAGTACATCTGTCTTATTTAATCCTCAATAATCATATTATGGAGTCTCTGGGTGGTGCACACAGTTAAAGTATTTGTTTGCTAACTGAAAGGTTGGAGGTTGGAGTTCGAGGCTCCTTGGAAGAAAGGCCTGATAGTATACTTCTGAAAAACCAGCCCTTGAAAGCCCTGTGGAGTATACTCTGACACATAGGGGGGTCACCGTGAGTGAGAATTGACTCAACAGTAGCTGTTTTTTTAATCATATTGTGGTTACAAATTATTTAGAACCTGCCTGACACTTAGGAAGTGCTATATGCTTGTTTGTTAAGTAAAATAGAATATACTTGCCTAGGGCCTTATCACTAGTTGTTAGCGGATGTGATTTGAATCTGCACCTTTCTGGTTCCAAAGCCTAAGGTCCTAGCAACTGTCTTATACTTCTTCCCGTTGACGTTAAGACACCTGTTGACCAGGGCACTGCTGTTGCTCCATAACCCGAGAACAGAGCTCTCCTAAGTTGAAAGTATACTGTTGGTTGACAGTACCTGCTACCAGGTAGTAAGATTAGAAACTGGGCAGAAAATGATAGGTGAAATGTCTAAAAAGTCACACTTACTCTCTAGTTTTTAATATTTGTTTCTGTACAAATATTAAAATGATGGTAAATAAAAGGAATTGGGCACTTACAAATATGTTTCTCAGCTCTTCGGTTTTGCCTTGAGGTGCTGGGGTGCGAGTTCTCATCATATGACCTTGAGAAAGTCCTGTAACCTCTTACGTTTAAGTCTGGAATGACAGTTAACTACAAGAAGTCTGACGTATATGGCAGAGGTTAAGTTCTCTATAAAGTGCCATGTTAAAATCTTTCACTGAATTGTGAAACAGGTCATTCTGGTTGCCTCTTCACTGTGGTACCTTCTCAGCCGTCTCATAAAAAAAAAAAAAAAAAAAAACCAAACCCGCTGCTGTTGAGTCGATTCTGACTGATAGCAACCCTATAGGACAGAGGAGAACTGCTTCATAGGATTAAGTAATAGCCAGCTAACACTGTCCTCTGAGAACCTTGTGAATTTACCTCTTTCGTGTTGAGCTACATCTGAGAAGTGATGGTTACTACCTTAGTCATCATGTCTTGGGAGAACCCTGTCTGTGCATTCAATTCATTCCTGGTGGATTCGAACTACTGACCTTTAGGGTAACAGCTGTAGCTCTTAACCGCTACGCCACCAGGGTTTGAGACAGCTGTTAATGTGAACTAAATGAATGAAGAAACAAACATCCAATCTCAGATTCGAGTGGGATGGTGGAGGGAATAGAATCACCGTCCTGAGGACTAGGGGTGCACACTGTTGCGTTCTGAACCAGCTGCTCCCAAAATGCTTATCGAAAGCTTAATATATGCCTAGCACTAATTAAGACACTGGGGATGCAGTAGTGAGCAAGAATGGGAGACAGAAAATAAACACGTACAAAAATAAGAAAATCATGTAGATAAGTGCTCTGAGGAAGATAAAATAGGACGGTGTGGTAGAGAGGGTAGGGGTGGGGATGTGGCATGGCTTCACCTGGGATGGTTGGGGAGAGCTTCTCAGAAGAGGTGAGATTTGAGCTGAGACTTGGATGATAAGAAATCAGCCAGTCAGCGCCTTGGG